GGGGTTACAAGAAATAATGGCCACAAGCTAGCAGAGAGCAGATTTAGACTGGACATTAGGAAGAACTTCTTCACAGTTCGAGTGGCCAAGGTCTGGAACGGGCTCCCAAGGGAGGTGGTGCTCTCCTCTACCCTGGGGGTCTTCAAGAGGAGGTTAGATAGGCATCAAGCTGGGGTCATCTAGACCCAGCCCTCTTTCCTGCCTATGCAGGGGGTCGGACTTGATCTATTGAGGTCCCTTCCGACCCTAACATCTATGAATCTATGAATGTTTGGATGCTCACCGCAAGGTGAAGCAATAAGTGATTTCAGTTCCCCTTACAAAGTGCTGCCTACCAGTGCTGTGAACCAGGAAAAACAACAGCAGGCTGGACCAGGCAGATTGTTCCACAAGCCCTCCCACTGGCACAGTTCAAAGAGAACGTACATCTTTAGTTGCCCCGGAGGACTAAAACCTGTTGTTCCTCTTGACTGCAGCGGAGCTGTGCCGTCTCAACACTTCTGAAAGTCAGGAAGCTTTGATTTTAGGTGTCTCATGTCAGGCAGCCTAAATTATCAAACTTGGGCTCAGGCATGCGTGTGCAGGGCTTGCAGTGGTCTTGCCAGGGGCACTTCAATCCGAAGAACGTTGCACAGCTGGAATCAAAACCACCATGCCACCAATATCACAAGTGGCATTAAGCCATCACCCGTTTATAATGAAGGAGTGCAGGAAGGCAAGTCTTTTCATCACCAGGTTTGCCCCAGTTTTGCATCAAACTTTTTAACTTTAAATGAACGTGGCTTTATGTTGTAGAGTAATTACAGCTCTTACCCAAGAATCTGCACGTGGGTCAGTGGGTAGTCCAATAACTCCAGTACTTTGGCAGGCATATTTGGCCGGAGTGAAATGACAGCATGCTTGTGGACCCCAGAGAGCCACTGGCTTCTGAATTCACTACTACCCCAATTGCTGTACGTCTGCTGTTGGTGATAGCCTGTCAAAGCAACGAGCCTATTCCTGACGTTGAATTCAGTTTGAAAACTAGTTGGTATACCTGCCGAGGAAAAAAGAGCTGCTAAATTGCAGAGTAACGGGGCGAATTAGCAACGAGTACTTTTAACATGAGATCCATATCCACTAAAGAAGCAATTCTGCCAAGCTGTATTTCTTCTCAATTTGATGGAAATCTGGTCTTTTCTCATGCAAGCCTCATCAGAAATGCAAAGAACATCTTTATTTAATTACATACGTTTCCATAAATGTACTGTGGTCTCACAATTAGAATGCAAGGAGGTTGGGTTTTTTTAACGATCTTAAAAAGAATTGGTAATTATGGCAATTCCTCATGCGTTTGAATGTATTATTCATACATAGGTTTCAGTCAGATAGAGCAAATATGCAAAACCGAGCAGAAGAACAAGCGGATGATATAAATCCTTTTAATTATAATACCCCCCCCCCCCCCCCCCACACACACACACACATATATACTCTGCAGATGTTTAAGTGCTGGAATTTTGCCTCCTGCATTATTAAGCCAACATCTAATTTCCATGAAATTTTGAAAGGTGGTGTCACAATCTGCCGGCTCCGTAGAAAAAGAGCTGAGCGTCTTGAATGCAAATCTGAGGAAGCATCTTGTGCTTCGGGTTGCTCACGCCTCTCCTGGGAGCTCAGCTTTGCAAAACCCAGTGTAAATAACCTCATAGTAATATCTGGCAGGCCCCGGGAACAGCAGAGATGAGAAGAACGTGAGAGAGGGTAGGCACTCGGGCTGCTCCCTCCTCTCCAGCTCGCACTCTGGAGAGAGATGTCAGTGGGGAAATGCAGTTGTGAAACGTGCTGCAGGACCACAGAAACTCCAGCTGGGAATCCCATGGCTGCTGGCTCCTAATTTCCCATCAAAATTCCTGAAGGGTCTTCTGAAAATCCTGGCCTTATGTTCATCCCCTCCCTCCGCTCAGCACAGCCAGTTTGCTTCTTTTTTAGTGAGGGTAAACACCTCCAAGCTAATTCTCCATGGGCGTAAATGAGTGGAGTTTCAGAGTTTGCTTGAGCTGTCCCCAAAAAATTTGGCCCATTGTAGCATTTGGGGGCTGCAGGAGGCCACCTTTTTTACAGGCCTTTGGACTGTACGCGATGCATCTCCACATTCCTCTTTGCTGCTTCCTTCTTCCCCGCTTCCTTCCCCTCTTCTGTTTTTCCCCTATGCTGTGGGGAGAGCAGAGATCTCCATGCACTTGGGAGTCCTCAGAGGGTTTTAACCTCCTTGCGTGCTTAGTCCATGGTCTGAGCTAGTCTGGCTTCAGCTTCTTTAGCAATCTCCGGTCTCCAGTAATATCTAGCAGGGACGGGAGTTGCAGGAGCAAGGTGACCGAGAGACAGTCATGCAAAGGTAGCGGGGAAGGAGAGAAAGTGTCTCCCAACAGAATGTTATTTCATTGATTCTCGGAGATGCTCTCAGCTGTACGAGCTTCGTTCTTCGGTCAGAAGGATGGTGGCTGCAATGCAGAGCCCCGAAGCCTTCCAGGGAGTTGGAGCAGATTTCTCCCTAGTGCTCTGCCAGGCTTATAAAGATGCATCTGACTGTTGGGTTCTTGGGTTTGGAAACTCAAGCGTTTTTGTTTGCCATCTCGGGTGTTTTGTTTTCCACTAATTCCTGACTCGGCCCACACCTCCATAATGAGGCATCTGAGTCTTTCCTCCTGTCTGTGTTCATCTAGGCAAGTACTTCTGGAGACTGACTCGTAATAAGCACCTGGTCTCCCTCCAGCCAGCTCAGATCCACCGTTTCTGGCGGGGTTTGCCTCTCAATTTAGACAGCGTGGATGCCGTGTATGAGAGAACCAATGACCACAAAATTGTCTTCTTCAAAGGTAAGAGCTTGAATTGTTTTTGGAGCTGAAGAGATGTTTTTTGGGTCCTGGCTCCTCGCTGTATGCAGGTTCATTGGGTAGCTGCATCACACTGATTCATGATGCTAACAGCACAGTTGCCTTCCACTCCATTAAATAAACATGCCATTTGCGTTTCTAAAATATCACATATTTGAAGGAACAAATATATCCCAGTCCCATGGATTCCTGCTATCGTGTCTGCTCTCCGTTGTTACTCTGACCACAGGAATTTAACCAACCAATTAGTTTCTCTCACTTCTGCTGTGTTTCATTGCAGCATGTCTACACCGTGATCCTCACTTTGCGTAGATGCACTTGAGCTGGCTCTAAGCTATCTGTCAAGGTCCTGAGAGTGTTGCAGCCACTGACAACATGGGTTTCAGTGTAGCCTGCAAAACCCATCCAGGACCTTGGGATAAACGCTTGGGTGGACAGCCCAGGCTGAGCTCCATGTCGCTGCCATTATCTGCTATTTGCTAGTTCAAATCTAGCTCAAGTAAGTTTATGTGAGCTGCAGTCACACCTCTGAATTGCACTGCGAACAGCATGGTGTCATTTCCTGCAGCTAGCATTCAAACCAGGTCTGCTGCGGCTGATAAGAATCTGGTTGCATTGAGTAACTCAAAGCAAAATCAGCTCTGCTAAGTTTGTTTCAGGTGGAAATTGATTTTTCTCTCTCTAACGTTCCTCTTTAAGTGTGTTGAGGTATTGATTTCGGGAATGCTGAATCATAAAGGTAAAGCAATGGAAATGGATTATGCCCCAGTCATGGATCCCACAAAGCATCTGTGCCTACAGAAGCATTTCAGAACTCAAATGAACCTTTTATGGCCTCCCGCACGCCTGGGGAAAGTGTTATTTCCTCAAATGGAGGGAATCCAAAATGGCAGCCACGATGTGCTGGACTCCACAGACTGCCAAGACTATACCGCTATTCAAAGCACGATGCCACGGGGGCATTATTCAGAGGCAAATGATCCATTGGTTTGTTATATGTCCTGGGCTTCCAGCGTGGACCACCTGTGCTCAGAGGAACAGCTGCTCTGAGTGGGTTCCCTGGGGGGAGAGCAGCTGTACAGCAAACCACGGCTTAGCAAAAATGCCATAGGAGCACACGTTGGCAGGACCAGGAGAGGAATTTTGCATTGCTCCAGCTCCCCCTGCATCTGTTCTGCGGAGAAACAAAAAAAAGGCTTCGGCTGGCACCCTGCAGGCAAAAGCTCTGCTGCACAGCACTGCCGGCCTGAGACATCCAGGCCCTGGACTGAGTGCTGCTGCTTATTCAGCTCCTGAGGAACAAATTGAGCTGACAGTATCACAGCAACATATTCATCCGCTAGTGCAGGGGTAGGCAACGCCCGGCACGGGTGCCAGAGCGTGGCATGCTACGGCATTTTGCTTGGCACCTCAGGGCAGATGGGGAAGAGGCTGGGGCTGTGCTGCCACAACAAGATCGGGCCCCTCGCATTCCCCCGCGCACCCCTGGCACGCCAACATCTTACAAGTCAAAGTTGTAGGTGTTTCTGGCACTTTGCTGAGCCCTGTGCTAGTGGCTGCCCCTTCAGACCAGGTCGGAGGATTTCAGTTTCCAAACCTTTCAATGCCCAGTAGTAAAAACACCGAGAGCTAAACAGGGACGTGCATTAAGGGGTGGTGCACAGCTAC